CGATTTGGAAACTTTTGGTTGGAAACAGATAAAATCACTTCTCAAGGGCTTCAAGTTGCTTAGAATTTTAGATGTCGAAAGAATGGATATCAAAGGAGAGAACGGGATGTTGCCGAGAGACGTAGGAAACCTGTTTCACTTGAGATATTTAAATATAAACAATTCTTCTATTCGAAGCGTGCCTTCTTCTATAGGCAACTTGAGATTCCTCCAAACCCTAGATCTAAGGACAGATGCAGATCTAGAAATACCCAATGTCCTGTGGAGGTTGGAACAATTGAGACATCTATATCTTCCTGGTGATATCCAGTTGACTGGTACAAGTAAGTTACGATTGGATGGTTTGAGCAAATTGGAGACACTAGAAGCCTTTGATACAAAGTTTTGTGATGTCAGATACTTTCCCAAATTGACAAATCTTCGAAAAGTTGAAATTGGTTGGGTATCCCCCGAAGACTTGGTGGTGATCCTTAAATCTCCAATCCTCCTCAATAATTCAAACAGCCTTGTTCTACCATCTTCATCCATCAAGATTGATGGAGATTTCCGAACAGAAGAAGAACAAAGCCTTTTCAGGCAACTTTTAGGATGCCACAATCTTCGCAAATTTTATTTATGGGGATCCCTGAATGTGGTTAATAAATTGCTAGACCAATTCCATCCAAATCTCACCAACTTATTCTTGGCGAAAACTAAACTAGAGGAAGACCCAATGCCAACATTAGAGAAGTTGCCCAACTTAAGGAGTCTCTCCTTATATCACGATGCCTACATTGGAAAGGAGATGGTTTGTTCTTCTGCACCACTAACAACAACAGCGCCATCCAGCAGCAGTGGTGGAGGACGAGGGGGCTATGGCGGCTGTGATGGTGGAGGTTTTCCAAAACTCATATCTTTAGAGCTCTGCAATATTGAAAACTTGGAGGATTGGAGGGTGGAACAAGGAGCCATGCCCTGTCTCTTCCGTTTACTAATTTTCGGATGCAAAAAATTGAAGGAGATTCCGGATGGATTGAGGTTCATTACCACCCTCCAAGAATTGGATGTTCGATTCGCATCTTTTGCACTCAATGACAGGGTTCGAGAAGGAGGAGAGGACTTCTACAAAGTTAAGCACGTGCCTTCCATCATATTAGGATAAGAATTGACGATTGATCTTTCTCGCATCTTCATACATTTACATCAGGTTGGTTGGTCCCATGTTTAGTTTCTTGGGGAATCTTTTTTAAGGTTTCTAATTTTAAAATTTTGAGTTAATCACCTTAAAATCCTATTTACAAATACTATGGTACCTTAGGTCCTATCTAAGATTTTTCGAACCAATAAATCATATTTAGTAAAACTCATAATATTATCAAATTTTTCCAATTTTTAAAACTAAGAACATTATCAATTTTGCATAATAATGTTTTAATTGTTTCACTAACTGATAAAAAAAAAAAACAGAGCATGAGATTAAACTTGTTTGCCTTTTTATTTATTGATTTGATTCAACTATCCAATAAAACCAATAACATTATTAGTTTTTTCATTTTTAAAGTTTTTTTTTTTTTTTCAATTTTGCACATCATGGTTCCATCATCATGCTCTTTTGTAGACACAAAATTTTCAATTTTGCATAAAAAATAATTCAATTCTTTTAAAATTTTCAACATCGGCAAGAATAATTCAGTTCTTTTAAAATTAATTTTTAGGCACTGATTTTAACAAAAAATAATTTAGTTCTTTTGAACATTATTTTTTTTCTTTTGTTATTGAATAATTTTTTCTTGCTTATATTTGTAGATTGATGAAGCTTGGAGTTTGGATGAGTGGATGTTGCATATGTAGCAGCTGTTGCTATTTACTATGGATTTCTTGGACTGTTTAATTGTATAATTTAGATGATTGGCTGGATTCTCTTGGACTTAATTTGGATGAGTGTGTACTGTTAATTTCTTTTTATTCATGTTGGACTTAATTTGGATGGTTATTTGTATGTTTGATTTCTTTTTAAATTTCTTGTTACTCTCTGGTGATTGTTTGTCTTTTGAATTAAGGAGATTTATTTGAAGAATAGGGTTGAAGGTTGAATGAGCTTTCGTTTTTTTGTGGAATTAAGTTGAATGAATTTGTTTGTTTTAATGGGATTGGATTAAGTTATATGAGTTAGGTTTTTGTGAATCACAGTTTGGTTGTTTTTTTTTTTTTCCCCTCTAAACTGCTTTGCTCAAACCCGTACATGCCCCTAATAACTGATAGACACTGCATATTGAGTTGTGGGGTAAGTTTTAGAAGGTATCCCAACAAAAAAGGCACTCAAACTCATGTCCCCCCAATCTTTTATATGATTTGGTAGACAGAGCCATATGATCTCTTTGATGAACTATGTATGTAAGCAAGATTTTCCCAACAAAACCATCTAAATGATGTCTGTACACCCAACATAGACCACAATTTCATAGGAATATCCTTTATACCATTTATTTGTTCTATGTATGCTTTCTCTCATGTATTAGGGGTTTAACCGACAAAGGTCATTAACATTTTCTTTTGTCAAATTTTTCCATTGCCAAGAAGATTTTTGAGATCCTTTCGTGCCCCTCCAAAGAAAATCATGGGTATCCGGCTGCCTAGCATCTTTCAAGCCAGGGCCATCTTGTGCTGATCCTTTTTTGGTTCCAATATAAAATAAATAAATAAATAAAGAAAGGAAAGAAAGAAAGAATTTGAAGAAATGCCAAGCAAGCTGAAGAAGGTCTGATCATTGATGATTGGCAGTATGAAAATTTGTGCGAAGCAGAATAGACACATTCATTTGTCTCACTCACATTGAAATGGATGTTGAAAGTTGAAAGGCCACAAAGACATGTAAATAATTGCAAACAGTTTTGTAAAGCAGATTCTCCAGTCCCATGTGAAATTTGCTCTGGTCTTTCATTTATACTGGAAATAAGAATTGCTCTGTGACAAACCCATGATATGATTGTTTTTTAGTTATAATAAAGCTTCTTTTTTTTTTTTTGTAGGGCAGAATATTGTGGAAGAATTGATATGTAGCTGCAATAAAACATTGTGACTTTGGTGATTGAGCTCATAGACCAGTACAAGACACAATAAATAATATGCAAACTGTTCGTTGATGTAATACTTTTTCCACCCAAAACAAATTTTAAAAGAAATATGTTCATGCAGTTTTCCATATATGCCAGTTGCTATATGATTTTGAATAGATGGAAGAAATGATTTTGAATTTTTTTTTACTATACAAATGTAACAATCTATGCTTGCGAAGAATTTATAAAATGAATTATTCGAATGGCACTAATAATGGGCCACATGGGTCCAATTTGACAGTCCCACTTCACATTTGTGGACCAGAGTTGGTGGACTTTTCTCCTTCGGCTGCACTGGCCAAAAGCCTACTCAAAACACCCAAACTTCAATTCTTTGTCTCATTTCTTCTTAGGATGTGTGGATGCGCAGCAGCGGCTGCTGTGCAGTAAAATGGGTCTATTGCGGAGTTCATTTTGATAATTCAAATTGTTCATATTTTAAAATACATCAAGTAAAATATACTTACAAAAAATCAAGTTTATCGGATATCGTTTACCCATTCATCCACACACATTTGTATCAACAAAAATATATAATAATTGTGATTTAAAGTATTAAAATGAATACAAATATGAGTGGATGAATAGCTAAACGATATCCGATAATCTTGTTTTTTGCAAGCATGTTCTAATTGATGTATTCTAAAATATGAACAATTCAGATTATCAAAATGGACCCCAAAATGGGCCCATTGTGCCGCATAGCAGCATCCTCACTTCCTTCTTTTTCTTAAACCTCTGTTCTCAAACTAGGAACGGGTTTACTCTCTTTCTATCTCTTCACCTTATTCACACCAAACTCATATTCAGAAAACTCACCCTCAAACTCTGACCAACAACTTCTTCAATTGCATTAATCCAACAAACCCATTACCCTTTAATGCATTCATCTCAGATTTTCGTCTAAAAGGGTGTTTTTCTCTCACTCTCCAAACCTTCGCTTTCATACACATCAATGGGGGTTCCTATGGTTGAATTTGGTAAGCTGTTGCATTCTCATATTATCAAATCAGATTGGTCATCTAGCTTTTTCTTTTTGTGGGGAGTGATCTAACTGATTTGTATGCAAAATTGTTCCTTATCAATGATGCAACATAAGTGTTCGATGAAATTCCTGTATGATAAATTGTGGGTTTAGTTTATCAAATAACACATACCAGGCAAGTGGTTGAAGAGTTAAAAAACAACGAGTTGGTTTTTGTACCCCATGAAAGGCACACAATTGGTTTTTGTGATAGAGAGAAATTGATTTTTTTTTTTCCTCGCCAAATAACTCAATTCAAACAAAGTGTAAGTTGTTGGCCACACTACTAGACAAAACAACTAGTTACTAACTAGGCCACTGTTATGCAGGACCAAAGAATTCTCACAAACTCAAAAAAGCATAAAATATTCTCAAAAACAAACACTGCTGGGGAAGGAAGAGATGCAGCAAAACCCACAAGGGACAGCTGTGCATGGCTTTGGTAATTTATTCTATAATTAGTTCTCTGACATTAGTATTCTAGAACTATTAATCACTTTTGAGTTTTTTATTTTGCATCTTTCCCACCCACCCACTATGTCAACCTTGCAAACAGTAAAAATTTGTGGGTTGGCCACCATGTGGCCGGACTGTAACCACGTCGTCCATAAATGCCGAACTAGGTTCAGCCACAAGTCCATATCCTTAATACCACTGTGATTATAATAACAAGTACAACCGTGAAAGAATAAGAAGAAGAAGGCTAGGCAGGTCTTTAGTATGGTGGGATTTAGACTAGATAGGGAAAGGGAAGAGGGATGTTGTTCTGCGGACTTCAATGCCTTTGGTGCATGTGGCCATTTTTTAAAAGAAGCGACTAGATTGTACGAAGAAATGTTGATGGGAAACGAACGTGACAATGGTATCAGGGAATTGTAGGTTTGTTTTTTCACTCGCATAAATCACCCGACTCAAACTCGCAAATTTTATTATCGGGTTGGAATTTGGAAAGCATACAATGGCGTAAGGTCATGGGTAGGTCACAAGTTGAATAGGAGGGCAAGTCTATGCAGAATGTGCACCAATTAATTTTGTGAGTACCAATTGGAAGTTGTGAATGAAGGAAAATGATTTGCAAACATAAAATTTATACAAAAAGAATATTCAGAATAATGTGTTAATGATATTTGTGAAATTGCAAAAGACAACAATGATTATTTTGATTGAAAATAAAGGAATTACACGATGTCAACTAATTCCATATGAGAATTCTATACAAACCTTCTATTTGCTTATTAAAAAGATATGCATAATTTGATAGACATTAACATTTTTATTAAAAGTCTTATTTAAAATCATAAATCATTAAATGTGATCAATTGTAAAAAATAAATAAAATATATATCCAATAATGTTTAAATATAAAAACTTTAATAAATGCAATCTGGTCACATTTTATCAAAGTCAAATTACACAAACCAGGCAAAGTGGTTCCAAAAAAAACAAAAAAAAGATGAGCTGGTTTTTTCAGCACGTGAAAGGCATACAATTGGTTTTTGAGCTAGATGGTCAACGCTGCAACTAGACAAAACAAACAGCCAACTAGGCAAATGTCAACCGAGGAACAAAGACTTCTCACCAACTCAATAAATAGATCATAAAATATTCTCAAAAACAAGCACCACTGGGGAAGAAATGCAGCAAAACCCGTAACATACAGCTGTGTATGGCCTGTGGAATTTATTCTGTGATTAGTTCCCTCACATTAGATCATAGACTATACACATTTTGGGTTGTCAACACATGTGGGCGGACTGTAACCTCGTTGTCCAAAAATGCCGAACTAGTTTTAGGCCACAATTCCATATCCATAATACCATTCAGTGTATTTGATTTTAATTTTCTAGATTCAATTTTAAAAAAGTTTTGTTTTTTTTTTTTGTTTTTTTTTTCTTTCTATTTTGCATAGTCTACTGCTGTTTCACACAATAATACTATTTTGTCTCAATGGAAGTTAAGGTTATTTTTTGCTAGACTTGGCCGGACAGATTAATGTTTCAAAAGAGAGAATAATTCGCACACTATCAAATTTATCGGATCAAACTCAGAAAATTTCTATCCGCCGTGAGAAATTCATTATGCCCTCTAAGAGACGCAATTATGTAAAAGTTCTGACTCCGATCTTGATGACGCCCAATTCATGCAAACTTTGAAAGTGAATATGGCAACGCGAATTTCAGAAATATCTTCCAGCCAACCAATTATGTTATGTTCAATAGAGAATTGCTTGGGACTCGCCTTTTCTACTGGGTCTCTCGCCACCTCATCTCGGTCCCCCTTTTGCCTTCCGTGAGGGAGGGGCATTGTTCAGGTTCGTGTGCTGCCTTGTTGAGTATTAGGGCTCAGTATCGAGATATATAAAGAAAAAAATAAGCAAAACAAAAGATGTAACCTATAGTGATTGGGTGTGAAGTGAGGGAGGTCATTGACATTCAGGCTTTCAGTGGAAATAGAGGCGTATGGTGTAAATGTAGTCATTGTTGTGATATTGTTATATATGTTTAAAGCTACTTTAGCCACTCATGTTGAGATATCGAGAATGTGAATTTTGATAAGGGTTCTCAGTGCATTCACAAGCATTTGTGATCACAAAATATTAAATATTACTTACTCTATCAATTGCCATCCTCCAACTTTACATAATTTTTTATTATCCAAACTTGTTGATATGTTGTACCCCATAATGAGCTTAGCTCGTACTAATCCTCTCGTGCCTAAGTAGGACTTCCCTTCATTACAAGAGGTTTTATGAGCTGATCTTGAGCTTATTCAGGAATCACTTGCTACGATAACTCGAATTGCAATAAACATTCAAATGGGTATAATCACTCGAGCTTAAACCACTTCACACTATGAGTTAACTAAAGTCCTCTGCTAGTACTACGATCTTTGCACGATTAGCGAAAGCATTTTATTAAGATTTCAGAATGTGCAATACTACCAATAAAAATCTTGCAATGATCCGATTCTAGTGAATAACAGTCTAGAATGTATAACTGTGATGCAAGAGATTCTTTTTCATAGAATAATACTTGGATGTGTCTAAATTAAGGGTCCAAATAGCAACTTTTTAGACTCATGTTTAGTCTTTACGCGTAATGTACTACACATTATCCTCAATTATCTACACGGAATGGATTAATGACTCAGCCATGGTCGCCTGATATTTGAATTGCACTAAGTAAGGTCTTTAAGCAATTATAGATATTTATCATTAAGCATTAGTATCATAACTGTCGGGATTCAGCCACTTATTTGTCAGCTGCCAAAGTGATGAGATGCTCTAGCCTAGCGATTTATTAGCAATTCCTTCAAATAAAGGTATGCTCGAACATTTATATGATGATAGATCTAGAGAAACTCCGCCTATGACGTACCAACTGATTCAATTTTAGGGAGAGTAAACAAGATCCGCGACCATGCAATCTTCAGCTTAGCAAAATAAGCATATTAAATCATCGAGGAGCCACAGGCAATGACACACCGGTCCCGATAGGATATAAGACTGTTACGTTATGAGCTCAAGCCTCCTATGTCTATAGTGTTATTGACACATTCAGCATGAATCTTGGTCATCATGCCCATACCAACTAGCATCAATCCCTCTGGGAGATTATAATCGCCGCCTTCAAAATCAAAAATCTCAAGGTACCACATATGAAAAATCTCTTGCGAAAACATTGTCATATGAGAAATCGGATAAGCGACAAATTTGTATGAAGAACTTAATACTGCATCAAAAGCTACTCTGCTGAGTTTTTGTAAACAACATAGAAAAAATCGCTATTCGAAAACATTAGTCAGTGGGAGAAATAGAAAAAGATCGCTACGATGAGCTACCAGTGACCTCTCAGAGAACCACTGATATGAACGTTAATAGCTGATCTTATTTCTTTCACTGTGTGCCCTCAACAAAAGAGTATATGTCATTATGGCGATAGTAAGTAACTGGTTGCCTCAGACACATGATAGTTGCTTATACATCATTACAACTAACATGAATAGAAAGCAAATACTTTTATCAAAAGTGAGATCAATTTAATTGCATAGACCAAGAGTATCCAATCATTTAGCAAACCATCCAATCCGGTTAAACTCAACAGTGTTTAGTTAGAGCAAGCACTCCGTTGAAATAAACTTTATCAGTCTCCTAATACTATCTGACAGAGACATAAAGAGGAAAGTACAAAATCTATAACATCTTATAAGGAAGAAGAGATTTTCTCGCAAAGCTTGACTAAATATACACAACGACAAGAATTATTAAAGAAGTCTTAAAAAACCAAGTAAAAAGACGCTGTGCTTACTCTGTGTGAAGTACTTATCTTGAAGTTTCTGCCCTAAAAATTTTATATCCATACTCACATTGCTTTTATCAATCCTGTTCTCAAAACCATGCCAATTAACTCATCCTCTACGTCTGTTATGTACCCAGAGACTATGTAGCCATAATGACAATTAGTCTGGCAAAACATAAAAATAAATTTTCATGACTAGAGAAGATACCACTGTTAATGGGCAATCTTAACTAAAACTACACCCAGGTCTCCATATACAATTAAACGATATCATATAATGCAGTATACAGCGCAATTCTTGTACTAACCAACACTTTACAAATGGTGCCCCAAATACGTTAAGTGATTCTACTCTTACTGTCTCATGGTCTTCGAAAACCGATTAGAAGCATAAGAATGGTGAACTAAGGCTATTAACACATAAAGTATATCGACATGTAGGCAAACCGGAACAGTTAAAAGAAGAATGAGAAACACAGGTCTTATACTTAACATACATCCATACCTGTTATATTAAGACAAAATAGTTACATAGGGAACTAAATGTAAAGGCGAAAAAGCTAAAAGCATCAAGTTATCCCAGATAGGAAATATCGGTCTAAATGCTTAATATTGCTGATTATTGTAGAAAAACCACAGATTCAGAACCCTTGTTACGTCAAAATTAAGTGGATTGGTGCTCTCGGCTGTGATCTTCCGAATTTATCCACTCTTATAGAGTATTGTTTTTGAACTCAATAGATCCATTCATTAGAGCATATTAAAGTCCACCGCCAATCTTTAGAATCAAACAATCATTGAGTTGCACGCCTTTCACAAGCAAGCCTTCCGGACAAGAACGTGGGTTTTTTCTTCTAAACATCGGAAAACCATTTCAAATACAAAGATGCATCAATACCACTCTACATGAAATGATTTACGGGCTCGCTCACCTCAATCTGCTCACACCATTGCCAAATGAGCCCACACAACACACTCATAAATTGATTAACCAATATCAAAAAAACAACATACTTGATCGCTCAGAGTATTACTAAAGAAAGTTATCGTATAAAATACGATTACATACTCTTT